ACTTCATTAATTAAATCAATGTTATGTAACCTATTAATGGAAAGTACTTTTAATTTATTTCTAAAGGTAATTCAATACTAATATTTTTGACTGACATAACATAACAATAGTAATTAAGAAGTCATAGATGTGGAAGAAGTGCAGCTTCTGTGATCAATGAAGACCGGAGCACCAAAAGGCAGAAGGCTGACTCAGCTCCTTCACCTGCATACTTTAGCTGGGCATAGTGGAATGGCCTTCACGCCTAGGGTGGCCCTACCAGGAGATTAAACTCCCGACGTACTTCGCCCAGTGACACCACCCCGCCACGATGAGGCAGTATGCAGGTCTTGAGATGGTTATGAATATCTCTAAAGTGGACCTCTTTTCAGATCCACTTTTTGTTACAGACTTGCTCAGAGTCTCTGGAGTCATGGACTTGGTTTAGCTCTGCTAACCGTGTGGGCCAGCAACAACATAGTACTTAAAGTTACTCTTTATAAATAACTAAATATATATTCTGTAAGGAAGTTCATTTCTGATAAATGAAAAATGAATTGTTCCACTGCTATATTAGAACCCTTAATTGATATTTTTACAGCCAAATAAACAGTATATCCATTGAACATGGATCTTTTCTGTTAGATAATTTCTTCCATGCACATTCTGCTACAATACATTCTCTCACCTTTTTTTTTTTTTTAAATAATCTTGTTTATGAAATTCACTCTATTAGTTCTTATAAATTATTTTTTTAGAATAAATTTTTGTGGGAAAATTTTTTATAGATTTCTTAAAAATGTCATTTAAATACTGTATTTGAAATTTTTGTCTTGAGAATTTATTTTTAATATTTTACAGTGGTTGAAGCCAAACGCAAGAGGAAATGTCTGAGAGCTTCTTCTGTAAGAGAGAAGAAACTAGGACCAAGTGGCACTGCTGCAAAAAAGAAAGCAGAGTGGATCCACATGAAAGCAATAATATGATCGTTAGATATACGAATCAGAAGGCTATAACTGTTTATGACAAATATAATCGAGACAATCCACGAAAGAAACAACTAATATGGACGAAATTGACAGCTGAAGAATTTCATGCTTTTATTGGGATTCTACTAACAGCAGGTGCTAATAATTCAAACACTGATGATACACGCGAAATGTGGAAAATAACTTCATATCCGCTTTACAGAGCAAGTATGAGCATAAATAGGTTTTGGAATATCCTTGGATTCATTCGATTTGATAATCAAAACACCTACTGCACGACTCGAAAATGATAAAGCTGCAGCAATTCGTGATCTCTGGAGTTTACTAAACGATAATTTGGGTAAAAAATATAAGCCATCGGAAAATCTGAGAATAGATGAGCATTTATTTCCATATAACGGAAGAACTCGATTTACACAGTTTATGCCAAGTAAGTCCGCAAAGTATGGTATAAAGGTATGGTGGATATGCAGCTGAAGAAGATGCTCTTAATTTTTATCTTCTCTTTGGACAATTGTATACTGGAAAATCCAGTATATCAATTGATAATTTATTTGCGTTTACTTATTAATTTTTATTTATAACATTTAATGAGTTAATTTTTATTGTTTATTCTGATTACTTTCATTTGTTAATTTTATTTTTATAGATTTTGAAGCAATTCTTATCTTATTTTTATGGTGTGATGATGGAACTGAATTTAATTTCAGTGAACCAGGTTTTGATTTTAACGAGTCAGATGATGAGGAAACTATATATTTTTTTTTTATCTTTGAATTAAAAATATTATTTTTATTTATTAAATTTATTCAACATGTTTAAATATTAAATTTATTCGACATAATTATTTTAAATCAACTATTATCTTCAGATCTTAGGTGAGTAGTCTCAAAAATTTCTTTAAGGTGAAGATGTAATTGGGGAAACTACGCAAACTTTCTTCGAAGACGAGGATTCAATAATGGGTGAAGTTACTCAGGGTTTTATAGAAGCTATACAAGTTTTTCAGAATTTACCACTTTATTACCAAGTGGGTTCGGGTTTAGAGGTAATAATTTTATTTTAGTATCTTAAATCTATTTTCAAATTGAAAATAACTCCCCCCCCTCTCCTAATATCATCTAATTTATTTTCATTAGCAGTCTAAACCAGACCTTTCCTGTAATGGATCAGTATATGTTGAAGGATTACCGCCTTCTGCACAAATGGATGATGTAAGTTTTAACTGGAATTATTCTTTTTCGTCTTTTTATTTGTTTTACGCTTATTGATTTATTATCTCAACTAAATACAGCTTCCACAACCCCCAATGGTTACTTTTACCACTATCTTAAATTAATTATATTATGTTTCTTGTAGAACTGACTTTTCCAGATTTTCGTGTTGTAAAGTCTACATTTAATTCTTTACTTATTAATTTTTTTTTTTAGTTTAACCCTGCGATAATCCTAAAATTACGATCTGGAAGGAGAAATGAAAAATAGAATGCGGATCAAGTCTGTTTCCAGGCAAGGATAGATCCCGAAAAATTACCAATGAATTTGCAAGGGACACCACTTTCAACAGTTGTTGACACTGTACAATTACTTATTCGATTTACTAATTCAGAGGGTTTGTAACCCTAATCATGGTTCTCCTCCGTTAAATCCTAGTGATTTAATCCGCTTCTGCATCCAAGCGGAGGGGTTGGACAAACCTATATCAACATGCTTAATGCCAGTTTCAGAAATCACAACTGAGAAAGTTGCGTCTTGTGTTATCAAGGTGCTACAATCCAAAGACCAGATCGAATTAGATACTGGATTTTTTATTGACATCATAACAATTAGGAGAGACGTTAGCGCAGGAAGAAGTGGAAAATAGAGTGCATAGTGGATTCGACCCACTTGAAAAAGCGTGCAGAGTGGAGGCTAAACCCACTTAGAAAAAAGCAGTGGCGACGTCCACTTTAATAACCGCGGAGTGCACCAGGAGAAGGGTCCTCGTCCCGCACTCTGGATGGTTCATAGAACCAACGGATTCTCCTGTCTTCATGATTTAAAATTAATGTTAAAGTAATTTTATAGAAAATATCTATTGATCTAACTTAAAGTAATCATTTTAAAATCTTAACTTTAAATCCTTTAATAAAATGTTTTTGCTTTTTGTAAAAATAGTTTCAAACTTTTTATTAACATTTTGCAGAAAATATTTTGATTATTGAGGGAAACTTTCTAATATTATTATTTTTGTAAAAAATAATATCTATCTTTTAAGAAAATAATTTTATTTTTGTGAAAATTTTCTAGTTTTCCAAAGAAAGTTTTTTATATTTTCTAGTTTTTTCAGAAAATTCTATATATTATTCTGAAACTTTTTGTATTAATTACTAAAGGGTGTATTTTTTTATTGAATAGGTAATATTGAATAGTTTAATAATAATTACAGTCATTTATATCAACTATATGTATATCAAAAAATACCTAAAATGGAGAATTATTAATATATTCTCCTTCTAACATTTTAAGTATAGATGACACCATTAGAATATATATAAAATGATTACATTTATTTTAATAAAACCTTAAGTTTTTCCTCTGATCTCTGCACATTCACAGGATACTGATTAACAAAACCAAGCCCACTACTTGTCGTCGGACTAAGCGTAGGAGGTTTTCTTCTTCATATAACATGGATACTCACAAAGTCCTCTTCGAAGACATGTATTGTCTCAAGATCTAGGAGTTCCCTTGTCTTCTGGGTTCAAAATGACAAGACTACATGTGATAGCCGTAAATCCAAACGATTGTGATAAAATATCTAATCTTATAAACTAATATTCATTGATTTAAAATTAATATTCCTTTAATTATAATACTTTTAATATTCACAATATTCTTAATAAATACAATTTTTACTTTAATATTAAATCAATTTATTTAAAATACATTAATTAATATTGATTAGGTTAATAGTTACAGTCATTTATATCAACTATATTTATGTTAAAAAATAACTAAAATGAAGAGTTATTAATATATCCTCTTCAAGTATAGATGGAGCCATTAGAGTAAAAGCATGTGCGTGATATCATTTATTTATTATGTAATAAAAAGATGACGTCATTACTTCATAATATATAATTTCTCCCCCAAATAACAAAGTTTATAAGTATTGCCATCCTAAGCAAGTAAAATAATATTAATAAGTGTTGCCACCCTCAAAAAAGTAATAAATGAAAATAGTATCAAAAAACGAAACTATATTAAAAACCGAAACTAAAAACATTTTAGGCTTCAGAAAAAAAAGAAATAAGCTCCGATTGACTTTGGGTAATGACATCATTTCCGTAGCTTAGATCGCGTGGCTGGTTTGACGTTTGAAGAAAAAGCAGTAAAAAAGAACATATTCTTTAGAGATAGTGAAGAAAAGGCATATTCTGTCAGGCTAAATCATCGACGCCTAAGAAACATCTAATAAATAAAAATGAGTCTGCTTCTTCATTTCAATCATTAAATGATACATTAAAAAAAAAGAAAACTCAGCTGCTGGTGTTCAAATAAGGTGTTATGCAGTCTTATTAAAGACTTTCAAACGATAGATAATACTTTGAAACAATTCTGTCGAAATAAGACCATATCTAATTAAAACTTATATAAAATTAATGAAGAGAAATGCCTGAGTTCATAGAATTAATGAAGACAAAATGTCTGGCCTCCATAGGATTTTCTGATGATTTACGCAATCTAACTCAGTTGTTCAGCAATTCTCAGTGATATTGAATTGAATGGAAGGTTTAGTGGCACAAGGTCCAAAAAAATGACTTGCTGCGGCAAACACACGTTTTTAAAACCAGAATATGTAACATGTATTAACATTTAAAATTATTTAGCTACAAATTAAACAAAACTACTAAAAGCATATTTCGTATAGCAAATGCAGAGTTTTTTTTAAAGCTTTGAGATCCGAGTAAAAAAATATTCTTTGAGTAATATTTTGCAAAATTAACTGCATTTATAGCATATTTTAACTTAGAAAATATAAATGCAGAGGTGCTTTTGAAATTAGAGGACAATAGCCTTAAGTCAGACAGTCTAATGCATGTTTAATCATTTCAGATAAAACAAAGGCGAAGGAAACGATTGCGCGGTATTATCAGTTCAATGTGTGCAAATATAACAGATAAAAAAACGCTTTGTTTTAGACGATAAATGAAAATGCCACCAAACGAAAAATTCTTTATATATATATACAACTGAGTTATATTTATTTTTAATGAAACGTTTAGACGACTTTTACATGAATTCCGCATTTCATTTTCATAATCATTATAGTTGACAAGTTAATCATAATTCAGAAAAATGAGTAGCACACGATTGAAACTTAGAAATTTTAGATTCACGTATTTATTGCCATGTTTTTTCATTTTCTCATCTGTTCTGTTTTTAATATCATATCATTTAAATACACATCACCAGAAGGGAAAAGATCGACAGCAAAGTAAGTAGATATTTATTATTCCTTATCTAATAAAAACCGTACATTTTAAAGTTTGATAACTATTTTCAGTTGTAAATAATCATGTTTTGCATTCAAATTAACTGAAAGATCTTCTTTAGTTTTAATTTGCTGATCGGATTACAGTCCACGAAATAATCTACGTAACACTAGATTGCCCAAGGGAATCATTTTGACTGCTTTTTAATTTCAATTAGAAAAATAATGATGTATATAATGACACAATTTCTTAGAATTTTGTGACTTTTTGTATAACATATAATTTTTTTTATTAATATTTACTAATAACTTGTTATATAACTGTATAAATTAATTTAAAAAAATTTCTTTACACATTAATTATTCTTTTACAATCCAGTCATTTTGACTGTTTTCGGGCAATTATATAGTAAGTTTCAGTCTTTCTAGTATTAAGGGGGATCTGTGCCTAACACATTTTAAAACTTAGCCCTTATTTTAAGTGACTACTTTTTTCGACAGTTCTACTTTATATATAGAGGAATTGTCGGCTGAAACAGATAATTGTAATATCTTTGCTTTTTTGAGCCCTTTTTGTAATAACTCTTGTATTGTTTTTGTATTTTTATGCGATTTCATTTAAAAGAACTATACCACTCCGGGCAATTAGGTTAATAATAAAAGTATGATTTTATTTGCTTACATCCCCAAAATTATATTCTTTAATTACAATTTTTAGAGTCAAAAAAATTAACAAAATAATTTAATTATCACTTCACAAAACATGAGGTTGGCTGTTTGTAGTTTATAGGTACAAGAGCCAGAACACAAAACATGGGGAGAAACTTTTCCACCACAGAAGAATGTTTAAAGGAAAAAAAATAACATAACGTGAAAAGTTCAATGCGTTTTCTTAGAGCAATAGATTTTTTTTATTTGCTACCAATGGAATGTAACCAAAAATGAAGTATTATTATTAATTTTAAATAATATTTAGTGTAGTTGATAAGCATTTCAAAACTACAATAATTCGGTTTTAATGTAGAGTAATAACGTCTATAGAAACTTAGCATAAGTTTTATGAGCATGACAAAATTTTAAAATAGTACCAGGAACTCAAAGTCTGGCAAATTCCAAAGTAAAAAAAAAAATTTTGAAATTAATCAAACTATACTTTGTCTAAAATAAGAACTCCCCCAGACATTCGTCTGGACCTGTAGCGGGTACTATGGCAACGAGGTATGACTATTTCAAGTAGGGGTGCGGGGTCACTGTTTTGGAGTGTTTTCGGCGAGAGAAAGGGAATCTTTTTCTTCTGTCTATTGTGTTATTCCTAGAGTGAAACTACCCTCCCTAAAATGAGCCATTCTTGTTTCCATAGCACTAGACGGTCTCAGACTTTGTGGCGGGATGAGTTCTTAGCTTAGACTAACTATACTTGTGTTTTGAATTGTCGTCTCAAGGTCACATTTTCTGCCTTCGTCGCAATGTGACAGGCAGTCAAAACACAATTCTTTTTATTCACACGGCAGCTAAAGAGTAAATATGACTCATAACTGTATATTATAATACCTTAATAATAACGTAATGGTGTAGGGAAAAAGCAAGGTTTGTTGATGTCTTAGAAATGGAGAGAAAAAAAAATTGGCAAATCGCTTAACCTTAAAATACCTACTCAATCCAGACTGGTTGTTGAAACGTGGCATTTGTTTACGTTAGCAACTGTTCTTTCCATTCTATATTCCTTCACTATATATTTTTTACTCAACACAAAGGAAGGTTCGAAGAAGCCATTTAGAACATATAAAAACTAATTAGTCACCGAAGTTGCAAACAAAACGAACGGAGGTACAGTGAACAAAAATATACCAGGCTTACAATAAAATACTTAAGGAAAAAATTATAGACGAGACAGAATTATATCTTAACTAAGTCGATGTGCGATACGGTTTTGTATTTAATTAACTTAACGTTAATTAACATTATAACTTATGTGGAGAAACTTAGCTCGACTATAACACGCCATCTTGTTTATGGTACTCGTAAACTCAAAATTGGGTCGGCTGTTCAACGACGATTATAAAACAGGCGCTGAGGCCATGCGTCTGTTTATCAGGATCGTCTTTTTCTCAGGTTGCAAAATACCCCATTACTGCTAGAGATTTATTTCATTTTAAAATGGACTTTTTTTTTTTAAACAATTAACTGTGTAGCGTAAAATTTTGATACGTCTGAATAAATCTTTTCTAAGATATTATGTTAGAATACTTTCTTAAAATAATGACAATGTTTTCAAAACAACTTTTGTGATTTGGAAAACAAAAATTTCTATTAAGAGATGGCGCCATATGCATAAAATAATAAAAAGTTGCAATAGAATATGATTAAAAGTATTAAAAATTAAATTTAAAAAAAAATACGTCCCAAATCCTAAAATAATGCAATTGTACACATTATGATCCACTGAAAATGCCAAATAAATGTGTAATAACTAACCCTTGAAAGTCCTGAAGTTATATAAGTTTACACTCCATTTCATTAGTTAATTGAAGACATGGCATTTTTTATTTTAAATACTTTTTTGTAAGAGGAGTTAATATTTAGATTAGCTAAATGAGGAAAAGGTTATTATTTATTTATTAAAGATATGTTATTTTTTAAAAAAAAAAAATTATTATTTATATTAAAAATATTTTTACATTTAACGTTATAATAATAATTTTTTAAAGTATAACTGTCATAAATAGGAAACATAAAATTAGAAGAAGAAAAAAATAGTGCGTGGTGTCCCTCCGCGCGGAAGAAGTTAAACTTCGTAACCTGCGACGTTAATTGTAGAAGAATCGGCAGTCGTAGAAGGATCACTAGTTCTACTCAACGACTATTTTGCTTGCTCCGCTCGCTTCCGTGCTCTGTAATAACAGTAATATTGTGCATTTTTCCCTCGTGGACCTCTTGAACCAGTGGAAGTGATTGTGGTTGCCTCATCGTCTCGCCATGGAAAATGTATTTGTATTAATAATGTATGTGAATGCGTCATAATGTAATTTCAAAAGAGAAAACCTAACAATCAATTGATATTCACAAGAGACGTACCTTGACATAACCTTAAATCCGTCGCATTGTCCGTGGGATTGTTTTCACTCATTTTTTACAATTGTTATCCACTAAATTTGAAAATAAAAAATACTACCCTATTAAATTATATGTGTATCAAAACAAACTAAAAAAATATTTATAGAAAAACAATACTTTTATGACTTTTATTATTTTTATGCTAGTGAGAACCAAAACAATATGGAAATGAATGAGGGAAAACTGGATCCTACCACGTGATTTCCCGGCCAATAAAAATGTAGCGTTAAACGTTTAACGCAACCTTGTTGGAAGTCGCATAAGAAGTATAACTTCAAAAAAATTACCCATAGAGTTAATGCAACAACAGAAACTCGATCTTAAATAGAACGGTAAATGAGAGCTTCTAACTCATCTTCTCATTTAAAATATTTTTCCTTACACTGGTAACTCTTTTTCCTTGTCCTATATTCGAATGGCTCATAGGCTGATAAAAGTTCTGTTGATCCTTTTGAAGTGTTGCCAAACACGAGCTATGCTATAATTAAAGATAATATTTAGAGTTGAGTCCTATGTGATGATTTAAAGAAATTGGTGATTTCTAATCACAGCACACTGAGATTTTCAACAAAATTGAAATTACTTTTGCCTTTAAAAAAAGTTCTAAATTTTCATTATCCAACAACAGAGAAACTTTCGATGTAAAGTAATAAGTTAATAAAAGTTTTCAATAATATTTTTGGTAAGATTAACTAAAGTTTCAAATATGCAAAAGAGGTAGTTCATTAACCACTTAATATTTTAGCGTGTTAACCCCTTATAAATTGATTGGCGTACATTTTTGTCCCAAAAACTATGTTTTGCCTCATATCGCGTCTAAAACTAAGTTAAAGTGGAGAATTGGGCAGCTGATGTAGGGCAATTATTTTATCAAAGAATTCAATCATTTAATAATATTTATTATTATTTTGATGCTTACAAAAATCTTCTTCTTTTTTTTTTAAATAGCTATTTACTTGTAAGTTATCTTATCATCATAAACAGAGTAATGATACTATATTGATAATAAAAAATTACGTTCAGAAAAGTGAAAAATCAGATAATCAATATTGATTAAGACACATGATTAGATTCTGACTCAAAAAACAGATAATACAGAGAATAATAATCAAATACAAAAACAAGATTGACATGTAGAAACCAGATGTTTGACGTTAATTATATTATCCGAAGATATGCCTGTGCGTCAATAGACTAAATTAAGATATTCTAAAATTAAAATTTCTGCAACATTTGTTTAAAAAAAGGATAAAAGTCTCCAAAATACGATAAGAGATAAATACGATATCGTGATGTTTTTCAAATATTGTGACAATTGTGGGTTGAAAAATCTAAACGCCATTTTAATTTTTTTTAAAATTCCATAAAACCTTAAAATTTGCAATTGATTTTAAAATAAATTTTTTTAAACAGTTCAGAAATAATTCAATTACAGCAATTTTAATATTTGGAATGGGCAAAACGCAAGGAAATAAATACATCCTCAGGAAAACATTTCAAATCGGAACCTACATATGATGACCCGATTTAATGATCACCTCTTCAAAACATCTGGCGAACAATTCAAACAGAACTGTACTTGCAAAAAGAAATTTTAAGTGATCATCACTCAACATAATATATTACTTTAAAGCGTTATAAAATCAATTATTCGAATTCATGTACAATGGATACCCTCACACGTAGATATATCAGGCAATGAAATGGCAGATAGTCTTGCCAAGGCAGGTGCAGCTGAGGCCACTGCGCCTAATTGCATCCTCAGAGCTCTTCTCCATTGCTAAAGCCAAAAATCAATCAGCATGGCTCACTCCACCCAGTCACAATTGGTACCAGGGTACCAGACCGGGTAGCTGTTTGACAGCTGTCAAAGACCGTCAGTCTCAAAC